GATATTGCTGTTGCACACTGGATCTTATGGTTTAAGTGCGAGGAATATGATATTTAATAAAGAAAGGTAACACACAAAATGTTAAAAAACGCCCCTTTGGACGTAATTTAAAATCTGAAACATTTCAGATTTTTTTTTTCAGATTAATTTTAAAATGAAGAAGTTTGATAAATTAAAAAAAAAAAAAAAAAAAAAAAAAAAACGTGAATGTAGATTGTTAAACAAATCAGAGAAGGCCTATATTTTGCTGTTTAAACTTGCTACTTTGATCCTACTTGCGTTCCTCTGTTATTATTTATTTTTATTTTTATCATTTTTAATTGGCAGGGAAGCACATTAAACAAAATTTATCAATCATGAGGTTTTGTTGACATACTTACTATTTCCTTGACACTGTTGCACTTTCTTGCCTTGGCGTTTTGATAACGCACAATAAGTAAAATTTTAGAATCAATAGCTTATCGAAAATCGTTTCCTGTTTACATTTCTACTCATTGATCCAACAGAACAACAACGAAAAAAAGGAGATACGAATAATAAAAATTATAACTATTTTCAAATTAAATTACACATACTTACCCAAATGAATTTAAAAATCAGAGTCCAAATGATGCAGTATGTAAAATATACGACACTGATAATGCCTTTTATCGATTAAACTAATGACGTAAACTTTTAAAATTTTTTTTGTAAATATTTCTAATTAAGAGTCTTATACATAAATAACCCTCTAGACTCTTCTTTTGTAATTCCTGATTAACACGTCGAAGTTCCAACTAACTGAATATTCGTAAAATGGCAGTGGAACGTCATAAGCGTCTTAAGTTATTTTTGACAAAAAATTCTCAATTACTTCACTAAAACTATTTTATTTATCAATGAACGAAATCGCTATATTAAATAAAACTATATGTGTTTTATAAAATCAAGATAAGTATGTTCTACTATGACCTATGCAATCATACAAAAATTAAGCAAATTATAATCGGTTATACGGAACCAAAACAAATATACGATAATTTATCTAAATTATGTAATCATATACAAGTATAATTTGTATGACATACAGTCTATTTTATTAAAACAAATTGGACATACCCTATCTAAGCTATGCAATAATACATAATTTAAATAAAATAAAATCTTTCAAATATCAACAATGTAGTCTAATTTATGCTGTCGTACAATAACTGCTTAACTATGATGTGTATAATTTAATATGCCGTACAAGGAAGTCATGTGATGTCCACATCAGATATTTTAAACTTCTGTTTTACCTATCATCGTGTTACTGTCATAAAATTTGAGACATATATTAATATCTCGTAAGGTATTAATTGCCTATATGTCAAAACATCAGCCATAAGTATATCATTAGTACGACCAACTTATTTGATTGTATTCTATTTAATACCTTAGGAATACAATCGTACATGTTGTCAATTACCTACGGACATTAATTACGGTCAATTACTACGGACGAAACTGGTAAAAATTAAGTGATTTGCCTTGAATGTGCAAATATCAATATAAGAGTTTCTGAAAAAAAAAAAAAAAAAAAAAAAAAAACACCTGGTTTTATAATTCGACAATCAATCCTCTTACAAAAGGCACTTACTAACTTTCACATGGAACAAGGATTGATGGAACTTGCGACTAAACTCTTTCCAAATAGATCGGTGCTAGCACTTACAAAAAGCAAGGTGGGTCATCACTCAACACAGTACAAGATCTGTTCACTGGTTTTTTTAAAATCTCTCTTGCGCCTGCTTTAATTTTCACAACTTTCTAGTTTGAGCAAACGTATGTGACATAAATCAGAGGGAAAATAGGACAGTGTTTATATTAAATTTAATTATTAGTAATAACTTAAAATAATTATCACAACTCCTCAATTCTGACTTTCTTCCTTGAACAAAAAATATTTGAAAGTAAGGGCAACTGTTTTAGCTCAAAGTATAAGAACAGTTTAGTAAGAAAGATTTTGGATAATCCTCATTTGGCTCTGACTGACTGAAATTATCTGAGAAAGATTAGATGGCTTCTAAAAATACTATGCTCCGAGAATTATTGAAAGACGAGTATTTTAATATAGCTATTAACTATGTACATAACCTAACGTAACTCTTCTATACGTCTTAAATAAATATACTTAATTTTCATAGAATTTTTATATTTTACGTGAATGAAACCTAATTATCGAAGAGTTTCTTTTCCCTTTCACTATTAGTACACACAACATGATGAATAAAATGTCTTGTTTATGTACTTTATAGTTGCAGTAAATGTGAATGCTTAAAGATGTGGACAAAAATGGCGTATGTTTATGGACCTGTATTTTGAAAGTCTTACTTTGCAAGAAAAACTGCTGAACTCTGGGTCGCGAGTAAATACTACAGAATAGATGAAATGAATAATTCGTTTCGCTTTACCGAATTTGCAGGTTTCACAGCTGTTGATATGCACATCGGATATTACCATAACCCTCAACTTAATGGCTGTTGGATTGCTCACACTTCAGATTCAGTTCTCATTCTCGAAGAAACGCTTTGCAGAGGATATCTAAGAGTCACTCCTTGGTAAACAAACGTTGTCTTGTACTTGAATCCATCTGGAAAGAGGTAAGTCTGCAGTACTTAACCTTTGCTGTTTAATGTAAACTCTTTTACTAGTAGTACCATATTTTTACCAATCATGTTGGGGGGGATTTTTTAAGTATATTAATTTTATAATTATGAAAGGGGGTTGTACCTCAGACTGGTATGATTACATAAGCTTTGCTACGTGCGTATTTGTAAAATGTATTTTTTTTTCCTGATGGAATTTTAAAAGCATTAAATTAAGCCTAAAATAAAATTCCCTTAGCGGCTTGGGATGCATAGATGCATGTTTTCAGATCTGCTTTTCTGTTAGCATTCCTTAAGCATAAAATAAAATTGTTAACCTATACATATTTGCATTATTGGAAAACTGTAACGAAACTTTAATGTCCAAATGTCTGATAGAGATTTAATATACCTGTATACTGTATGTCTTATATTTCTTGGAATCTTATTGTCAGTGGTATAAGTAATAAATCATTCAACAATGGTTTAAGGATAAAGATTTTTGATTTTTAGTACATAGCAATCTACTTTAGGAAGTTTATGGTTAATGTTTCTGTAATCATATATATGTAACATAAAATTATCTCGTCATTTTCTTCTAAAGAATGCTTTAAAACTAGTGTAGAGCTTTACTGAAGAATCAAAAAGGAAAGATTCAATAACTTCGTAAAGGTATTATTATAAACTAACTAGTTATTATGATTTCGATCTTTACTATAGCTTCTCCTTTCTGATTTCATTGCCAAAATGCAAATGAGTAGATAGTATTTAAATTGAGTTTTTTGGAGGTTTAAAAGAAAGCGTGTTCCTGATTGCGAGTGCACGCTACGTTTAGTTTCTGCCAGCTCTAATAGTTGTAATTATTCAGTTTTACGTTATATTGCTCCAGCAATGTGTAATTAAAAAAGTTGAATTCTAGTTTGAAACGTAGACTATTATTCAAAGACTGCTCAATTAAATTTAAATGCAAGCTGGCTCAGAACTTCTAGCCGGCATATCAGATTTAAATGTTGGCAGGAAAAATGCAAAGCCGAATAATTGCAAATTTATCGTAGCTGACTGGTATAATTAATTATTTAAGCTGAGAGGACTGTTTGTAGAATGAAAGATGTAATTTCTGTAGTAGCAGCTTATTGATTACGAAATAAGTTTGCTATTTATTTCATGTTGCCCATTATGGAATTGGATAACGTATGCCATTTTGATGATTATTATATTTGGCAGTAATTTTGAAAGAAAAAAGATATTTTGGAATGCACATATAGTGAATCTGATAACAATGACGCAGTTATATTGCAATCCGGACCAGAAAGGGCAAAATGTTTGCAATGATAGGTTTGATAAATCCTGATAACACTATTAAATTACAAAAGCCTCTAAAACAGTCAAAGGCTTAGAAATCGGCATTGTTTTAAAATTAATCTGAGCATCAAAATTCATCATTTAGTTGCATTTATTTTAACTTCAAAATTTTATAAATATTCTTCCTTCCTCCTCCAATCACCTTTCAAAGAAATAAATTCATTTCTTATGGTTTTTTAGGAGCATTCAACAATGTTATAGGGCTTAAGAGAGCCGGACGTTTTAAATATACAAATAACTGCCTTCATGAAACAATAATTCTAATTATATATATATATATTACCTACATTTTGCTTACACTATTTTATATTTTTGAAGAACTTTTAAGGGGTAAAGAAGTATTCTAAGAAATTATCTTATTTTAACTATGGTACTATAAGTCAGACTTTTAGGATACCGTAATTTTGCAATGAATTGCAGAGTACAATTTCGATCATTATTTTTTGATAAAATAATAGACATGCCAAAGCATTTCCTAGTTTTAGACCTCTTTCAGTGCGGAAAAGCTCCTTCAAAACATTTCGTTTTGAAACTTAATATTTAAAATTCTATATTAATTGATTTGGCTCAACTGATTGGCAATTTAGAGCTGCTCCATTTTTTCATCTTGCTCATATAAATAGACGTAATTATAAATAGAAAAATTGTAAGCAAAATTTGTGAAGAGAAAAAAAATTAAACGTTTATTTTTTGCTTCATTTTCCTCGACATGTTTGGGATTGGGTGTCAAAATTCTACTTAGGTAATAGTTTCTATAGACTTCTCATTAATTTCGACGATTTCTTTTTTTTTTCTCTTTTTCTATTAACTTGTCCTTGTAACAATTGTTTTTAACCATTTTTAATTTACCGGTTAGAGTAGATTGAAGGGAGCCCCTTGGAATTATCGCTAAGTTGTGGCTTCATTTACCGCCAAGTTGTTGTTTCATTCATGGTAACCTGAGTAGTTGAATGCTGTGGAAACCCAATCATGACGTAATTAGTTGCGTGATTGCGGTGAGTTTGAATAATGGGACGGATTTTGGGTAAGAGGTAGGTTGTTATTTTGTGGTTTACACAGTAAAATGGCTGAATGTTGTAAGATTAATTTGAAGTTTATGTACGATTTGGAACGAAAGGGAAATAAGCATTAGTTGACTGGTGTGGAAATGAAGGTTTACTTAGCTGCCATTTTAAGTGGCTTGTTTGTAGGAAGGAAATGCGTATGGCCGGATGTCGGAGGATACCTGCATTACGGAGGATATTTTTAACTCTTACTTTTATGTAAGTTTACGTGGTGACGCCAGTCTACAGATTCTAGTTCAAGATAATTTTAGGAAGTTTTTGGATACTGTTAAGGAATTTTGTTTGACTAAAGACAGTGAAATTTTTAAATAAGGTAAGTGGATATTTCCTTTGTGTAATGCTAAAACGAATTTCCTTTTTTATGTTATTTCATTGTTTCATTTAAAATGTGGTTTTAAATTATTTTTTTGATTTTTGAGATTTGAGATTATATATTTTTTGTTGGCTGCTCCTTTGACCTTTTTAGTGAATATAGATCGATGTGCACATGTACAAAGTCAAGGGAGTGCGCAATGCCTAGTTTGCGCAATTCTCTGATGTTTCTTTAAGTGAAAATAGGTCGATGTGTACATGGATACCGAGTTTGTGCAATTCTTTGACTTGTTATTTTGGATTTGTGTAGCGGCGATTTTTTCGGCTACACAAACCAAAATAACAAGTCAAGGAATTTCAGAAACTTGGTGTCCATGTACCTCCCAAAATCGCCAATTATCGCCAAGGGGCACCTGTAAATGTATTTTTACCAATTTACCTTCATATTAAATAATGCCATTTATTGCTTTTAGACGTTGCTGCTATGAGTTGTTTTGAACTAAATCACATTAAAGACTTTAAATCTTTATGCGTTTTTTATTAATTAAAATTATATTTTTACTTTGAATTCTTATAAAATTATATATAGGTGATAAAGAAAAGTTTCTCTTCAGGCAATTATGAATTTACCCTTGCATATTAGAAAATATTGGTCTCCATAAGAATTCGTACGTCGTCTTTTTTTTCCGGTTGTAGTCTTACTTTTACATAATTTATTTCCAAAATGAATTACCCTTCATAAAGAAAATATGTTCCCATAAGAATTCGAGTCTCAGTCTTACATATATGTATTTCCCCCATCCGTTAACAACATCTAGGCAATGCACTTAAATGCAGTCGTTGGCAAGTGGACTGAACTCATTTTACCACATTATCATTATGTTACTACGCGAAGTCATTTTACCGCGAGATCACGATGCCTGGCCGTAACAGACTGAGATTGCAATAACAAGGTAGAATACAGAAGACATAAAACCGGGAGATTGCACCCACGTACCAACGCCTGACAGGCAGCCTTTGGTAATAATCATATCAACCGAACAGGCATAAGAGAGGATACTAAAAGGAGTTTTCTTCCGTTGTATCTTTCTAAAATAAATATATTCGCTTTAGAGGAAGATTAGATTTAAATTACCTTCATCATTCGAAACACTTTCACAGACGTGTTTCGTACTCTAAAAGGCTTTTAGAGGTATGGTGTACAATTATGATTAATATAACTTTTATTTTACGAACTTCAATGGAAATATGAGTAAATATGCTTCCGTTTAGTACATTTAAGAGTTAGAAACTATTTCAAGTAATATTCAAAATAGTAATATCATTGTTATAAATATAAATTACAAAAACCTTTCACTTTAATAAGAATTATCTTTAGAATTACATCCAAATGAAGATTATCCAAAAGTGGTTATTTGAACCAATTAGATCAACGTAAGACGTGAAAGAAAAAGCTAATTTTTTTCTACTTAAATCATATTAATTCAATATCAAAATAAAATCAGAACTGATTTCACATTACATTTTGAAGAAAGCCTATTACTTTACTATTTTTATGGAAATACAAATGCAGAAAACAAAATTTTTAAACCACCGAGTGTGCTGATACTAAAAACGGACAAAATAAAAGTTTTTTTTATTAAAAAATATATTTAATGTTTTACATTTATAGCATTTAAAAATATAAAAGAAAATAATTATACCAATTATTAAAAATGTTTAAGTAATAATATTCTTATATTCATTATTTTTGAACATTTTTACTTAAATAAAAAAAAATATATGCGTGTAATTTGCTACAGTTTACATGGAAATTCAAAAAGTTATAAAACATTTAAGAAAATAAAATTAAGAAGCTTATAAAGGAAACAGATTATCGAGTAAAATATATTAGCGTATTTAGATCACGAAAATAACAACTTTTTTTTTTTAAATTGGAATGCTGATTCTCTCAAATAATCCGGTGTCCTTGAATGAAGAGCTGAAGTATCTGAGTATATGGGATAAGAATATAGCTGGTAATATATCAAATGTAGTTTCAGTTATTTTACATATCGTCTTTTTATGTACTTGTCACTCATAAGCATTACTATTGAATTACAGGCCTCTCAATAAAGTAACCATGCATCTTTTATGAGTGCGATTAACCACATCTACATTCAAAAGCTTAAGTTCGGATGATTGCGTAAACGATAGGTTCTTAATCTTTATAATTTCTTTGAAGTTTAAACATAAAATTATTACAGTAGCAACTTTATGTTTGGTATACACTGCCTTCCAAAAGTTAAGGAATAGCATGTTTTTCGTGTTTAATTTGCGAATGGAACAGTTTAGAAATAAGAAATTTAGAGAATATGTTCACTAAGCAGTTCTTCAATAAATGCGACATAGAATGATTCTAAAATTCAATACAAACATGAATTACAACAAAAGATTGCATACTTTGTAGAGAAATCCAGTCTTGGAGAAACAGTACATCGCAGTAGTTTGAGGAAAAATGTGGTGGTAACTTTACAAAAATGTGCTCTAATAAGGAATATGTCCACCTCTAGCTGCAATACATCGGGGTCAGCGACTTTCCATGCTGTCAATTAAATTGTCGGTCAATAAAATGGGAAGCAACGATCAGACACAGAGTAATCCTTGTTCAAGCTCATCTAACGGTCTTGGAGGAGAACTTAAATCAGCAACTTATCTCCCACGGTTGTACCAAAGATGCTCTATCGGATTCAGGTCTGAGGAATGAGCTGGCCTTTCCATCCTCTCCATACCGTGACCCTCAAGGTATTCTTCAGCAACCCGAACTCGGTGCCGTTGTGCGCTGTCATGCATCAGAAGAAAATCCAGGACCAATAGCAGCGGCATATGGGCGGACATATTGATAAAGGATCTCGTCTCGATATCTCACACTTGTAAAAGTTCCTCCGTGGAGCACATCAAGTCAGTGTGACCACCGAGAGTGATGTCAGCCCAAACCATTATTTCACCACCTCTGTAACTGTGCCTTTCCACAATGTGGGATTGGTTATATCTGGTGCGTTGTTCCCTTCAGATCAGCTGATGACCTGAATCACTCTCCGATATGAACCTGGACTCGTGTGTGAAGAGAACAGACGCCATTGTTGACTGGTCCAGGAGACGTGTTCTCTTTCCCAACATAAACGGGTACATCTGTGTCCTCGGGTCAAGGGAACACAAGCAACTGGTCGTCTTGCATACAGAGCTGTATTGTGCAGGTGTCTGGGCACTATAATAACTGAGATTCCTGTTGCCACTAAATGATCTGCCATGAGCTTATCAGGTTCAATGTTTCTTCTAACCTTCTTCGGGAACATACAAGGACCTGACTAGGAACAGAGAGCTTACTAAAGCTATGTTCACTAATTGTAGTAAGTAGACATAACAGACGAAGGGTATGCAAACCCCTTATTTTTCTTTAATACAATGACTTCCGTACTTCGGAATACAATGACCCTCCACTCGGGGTCTAAACGCAAAAGATATCAAAATAAAACTAAACTCTAATAATTAACTTTAGAATAATACACGTGGAAGATTGGCCTTATAATAACAGGAAGCGTATGTAGCACAGAGACTGTGAACACTACAATACGTTTAATTTTATCAAGAGGATTAAAACCTCTGGCCTGGAAGGCAATAGCAACTGCGTAACTTCTAAGGTAAGCGGCCTGCTTCGAACTCACTGCTTCCTCTCCCTCGCTTGGCAAAAGGCCACACTTAAATACTTGGCGTTTCGCCAGACAAACTTTGCATAAAATCCTTAACGCTTATAATTCTGGCCGGAAGTAGAAAATAAGAAGTGATAGTAAAGATTTAAAATAAAATAAACGTTAGTAAAACTTAAGATCCTTACAAGCTGAAGCACAGTAATCTTGCTGCCCCTTCGAGCCGAAAGAGCTAAATAACGATTTTCTGCAAGAATTGTAACACTGGGTCTGACTAGAACATGTCTTTTAGACACAGAATCCTCAGATTCAGACTGATTCCACAGTCGGTGGACCACATTACGAGAGATATTGAAACGTCCAGCAGCATCAGCTTGTGACATACCCATTTCAATCCATCCGATTGCCCGCTTCTTCAACGCATGGGGAAAAAGACTTCTCCCGGGCACTGATAGACTCCTGGATATTGTCAACGGAACTGCTAATAACAACTAAAGATAACATTCGGGTGCAAAACTTACAGTTTTTGCATTTTTTTTCTCTAACTCCTATATAAGTATTCATTTTTATAAATTAAAAGGGGTAGCTATTGTTTTTGTATATATTTTCTTGAACATTATTACTGTCATGCATACAAACTGCGAATTTAAATGTTCCTGACATTTTTATAATGCTGAGTTTTGAAAACCATGGTGTTCCTAAAGTTTTGTAGGGCAGTGTAGATTTTAATCAAAATTCTATCGTTTTCGAGAACAAAGAGGTACAAATCCTTCTTCATCAGGAGCAAAGAAAGCCGCAACGAAGGAAAGCCACGATTGCATTTATACCCAAAAGAAGTAAGGCTAAAGATAAGTATTGCCATCTGTCTACAGAAATAGTAACGAAAACTGAAAAGTTAAGTTAATAGAATTTCAAAAGCGTTAGGAATGACTGGATTGGGATTAAAGCAATTATAAAGCAATTAACTAAATTAACTAACTTTTATGAATGTGAAAAGTTTTATGAATATCCAATTCTGTAATGGAAGATGGTTTTTTGGTTAATTATTTTCTCCGTCTTTAAAGTTGTTTAATAAACATAAACATTTGACCTTTTACTTTTAAGTTACTTAACCAGCGTTTGTTTTAAATAAATTGCACACTTTCATATCTCATCTTTTGTAACGGATCTTAATTCCCCTTTTAGCTGAATTGTGAATGTGCCAGGAAAGTATGAAGACATTTTTGATTCTAATCACTCTTTGCGCTGCTTGTTCAGCAAACTATGAGAACAGGAAGACGAAGTTTATTGGAGATGCGACGACTGAAATACGTAAAATGCTGGATGCTGCTTCGTCTCCTCAAAGCTTAGAGAAGTCTGAGGAATCCGAGGGAAAATTGGACAAAACAGATCCTGATGTTTTCCATGAAGTTACTGTTGGATATCCTAACGTTAATTCTAAAAAAGTTTCGACTTACAGAATGCCGAGAACAGATAACATCAAACATAGAACGTATTACCAGAAACCAAAAGGTATTAAGATAGAGCCTGGACAATATGCAGGTAATATTCAGAAACAGGTATTCACACTTGAAGTTTTTTATTCATTATATCAAGTTTTAAAATAATTTCAATAATAATATATTATCATAATACTGGTATTTGATTATGAAACAAAACTTAATAAATTGCTGTAAAGTTAAAAAAAAAGTAAAATTTACAAAGTCTTATCTCCCTCTGAAACAATTCACGCTAACTTGTAGAGTCATTAGGTTATTTTGAAGCAAGTGATGTGAAAAAATGCAATACCCTTTCCGGAACTCGAAGCTTTACTTCCCGAAGACGCGCCGTGTGTGCTACCATTACACCATGAGAGCATGTTGGAAGGAGAGAGAAAATACCTTATAAATTTTAATAATTAATATTAAAATCATATTATACAGTCAGACTTCATAAATTCATCAAACGGGTCTGAAGCAAAATAGTTTGAATACGATTAATTTATTGTACGATTTTCATAAACTAAAACTGATTAATAAAGTAGATTTAATTCAAAAAATTTAAATATTATGGTAAATTATCAGAGGGTTGTCTTCGTAAAAAGATGCATATTTTCTTAAAAGACCGTTTAAGCAAAACATCGTATTCACAATGCACACAAGGAAAACCATGAAAACGGCCATGCAGCCAGTCGGTGGGATTCGAACTTGGGTTGTACTAATGTATCGGAAAATCTCGCTCACTTGGACCTTGCCGGTGACATAATTTTAAAACTTGCCTACTAATTTTTGTTAGCAGATGCTGAAAGAAATCTAATTCGTAATTATCAAGATGTCAAATCAAAATATTAAGAAAAAAATAAGATATGGAAAATAAAAAAAAATTGGAGATAACTGTGTGTATAAAATGGTTTACAACTTAAGTTCAAAGCAACTTTTTGATTTTAAAGTTACAGTCATCTAGTGGATATAATATATGACATTATAAACCTCATACAGAAAGAAAAACTATCAATTTTATTGTTGTCCAAAATTGAAAACAAATGAGCATCGACATCGAGGAAATTAATTCCAAATAAAAAAGGCTATTCGTAATTAACATTTTTAAAATTTATGAAATAACATTTTTATTAGAATATATGATAATTTTTAGTAAAATCATACAGGAAATTTTTCATGAAATTATGTATAAGTGCCGTAATAAAATATAAATTTAATTTACAAATGTCTTGGTGACTGAAATGAGTCATTTAATTATAAAACAAGTAGTTTAAATAACCTCCTATTATTTTAGCAAAAGTGGTTTTCTTTTCCTGTTTCTGAAACGCAAATAATTTATCTTTTTCGGTGCAGTAAATCCTATTGACAGGAAAAATAAAAATGCTTGGAAATCTTGGCCAGAATACCTGAAAAGCGCTATTGACTCCAGTGACTCAAAAATTGCGTGGACCTACTGGGAAGAAGACGAGGTATGTATTATTTATTGCTTATGGTAAATTTCCTTTAATGTTTTTACCCAATTAGTTATTACATGACTTTATTTAGGCTGGTTTCTCCAGTTTGCTTTGGATTAAATCTTAAAATGGAGTTTTAATCTGCTTTAAAAGAGACGATTTTCTCAAAATTGTCAGTGTATAAATATAACCGTACAATATTTCATAAGTATTTCTTCCAAATTGCATTAAGAATTCGGTATTATTAAATTAATTCATTTCTTTGCATATTTATTTTTATTTTAGATTTTACTGAATTTTATTGTTGTTGTGAGAGGACTCCACTACCAAAAACTGTAACAAACAGTCATATTTGCAATCATAGAAGAGCGTGAAAAGAAGACGGCATTGCACGCTCTCACAACACATTACATATCGCATTGTTAAAGCAACGATTCGACTAAGTAACCCTGAATACAAATTCCAAGCCATAGAGAAGACAGAAATTAACAAAGGCATTTTGAATTTTCCCTTGAAGTATTCCTCACACAAAATGCTCGAGAATATTCTGTTGAAGAGTTTTTCCACAGAGAGCCAGAACATTTGATCCACCCCAACAGTTAAAACTATTTACAGTTTCTGTTTGGGCGTCGGACTTGCATTTCTAAGTAATTAAAATACCTGTTACAAATGTAATCATTGATATATTATATGAATATGGTAATTACTTGCTTCACTCTTTTTAGTGAAACACGGTAAGTCAAACAATTCAGACACAGCATTTCTTTCCTGTTAACGGCGTTCGTTAATTTACAGGAGCCCGATGATGCAGATGATTCCCCAACAACAACTGAAGCACCTACTACTACTACCACCACAACTACGACAATGGCACCGACACCTAAAGTAAAGGGACCCATCTCCATCCATAAGCATTTCCACTATTTTAAGAAAGCTGCTCCTTGGAAAGGAGATAAAGGTATGCCTATGACAATGGGAGATGCCATGAAAATGACGGAAGATATGATGGAAGATATGATGATGAAAGGCATGATGACGATGCCTCCTGATGATAAAGATAAGAAAGGAGGTCTTTCCGGAATCTTCGACAAGCTCTCCAAAGTAGATCCCGCCACTGTCTTGGTAGCCGGAATTATTCCAGCCAGTCTGATATTAGCTGCTGCTTTGCCTTCTGTGGTTAATAAAATGATGATGAAAGGAGATACGAACGGAAATGGCAATGGAATGATGCCAATGGTATCAACAGTGGCTATGGGGAATGGTAATGGAAATGGCAACGGAAATGGCAATGGGAATGGGAATGGAGATGGAGATATGATGATGGAATCTCGATATCACCAGTCTCCTGTTTCAATGACGTCTTTGATAGAAGCTGTTGGAGATTTCGGATTGAAAGCACTAGAAAACCCGCAATGTGCGCGGCAGATGTTTTGCAAACTAGCTACTGATACGCTTCTTCCTGATTCTCCAGTTGTTCAAAAAGCTCTACATATTGCAACTATCGCGTAAGTCTTTCAAGTTATTTATTTCTATGATGACATTTTCTGTATGAATTATTCCTGTTGTTGGTTTCATAATTTATTAATAGCAAATTTACGAGTAATCTAAAGCCAAATTAAAAAAATGACGTCCTTAAAAATGTTCACAGCTTTCCCCCAAACTCTTTAATGAATATATAAATAAATAAATATATATATAATAGAAATATTTTATGAACTAGAAAAACAATGTATAATGCACCCGAAATGTGAACTGCTTTGCATTGTATCTGTCTTCAGAATTTAATCTTAAACCATAGTGCACAGTTAAAGGATTTTGTGCGTTTTGAAATCTTATTATACTTGAGGTGTTTAAAATTCGTTACAATGTAGTTAAATAAAACATTTCAAGTTTTTTTTATTTGTGTGTATACCTTCTTCTCCAATCTATATTTTAACGATGATTTTAATGTGAATTTTGAAAATCAAACTTTACTAAAGTTGAAGGTGAGTGAGTCAAAATTAACTTTTAAGTAATTTGGCAGTTGATGGAAAGTAAATTACGGGAGTTCGCAGAGCTTACAAAAGGTATTCGAACTTTTGAAAAAATTATTACATTCTTACCAAAGAAATCAAACAGCAACTATGTTCTAATATAGCAACTAGTTCTAATAACAGCAACTATTAATAGCAGCCACATTCAGATGTTTATTCAGTAAAATGTCGACACATTAGGTATTTTTAACAATAGGCTACACTACGAAGACATGCAAAGAAGGCGGCAGAAATACCTCATATTTCCCCCTTTTGAAGGGCGACTGGGGTTTTTAGGGGACCCAATCGCCAAATACTGGGTGTAGAGAATCATCATCCAACCCCCTTTTAGTTCGGGCGCCACTGTAGAGACGTTTGGTATTTTTGGAAGCAGAAAAGATGAAAAATGAGCAACACCTTTGCCGGGAATCGGACCACGGACCTCTGGAATGCGCCCAGCGTGCAAACCACTACACTACGAAGGCATACTACGAAGGCACTACGAAGGCCGAAGAAATACCTGATAAAAATGTTTATTATAATATATAAAACGTAACTACGTTTTCATTTGCTGGTTATTTTGGGCAACACCAGACTGGGAATAAGTAGACTGCTAACAACGTAGTAAATTAATTATGACATTTTAAAGAAATATGTGAATATCAGAAAAGAAAATTTCTGATACAATTATGAGCAGACATTTTAACTCACATAGATACTCAATGCTTTAAAATTAGAGAAAATTTAAACCTAAACTAAGGTTAGTTGTAAAAAGACTAAGCACATTTTGAAGAAATTTAAGACGGGTCTTTGAGATTCAAAAGAAAAAAAAATATTCTGTGGTACTTTTCGTATCCATTTATTATATTCAGTACATTTTAAATTAATTTTGTTTATGAATGGATAGACATTTCATGTAAGTTAAATCTGAAATTTGGTTTTTCGGTTTAAAGTACAATACAAAATGATATCAATTCGTACTTATTCCTGATTTTGGAAAGCTACAGTAAAGCTACGGCCTCCAACGGCATATGAATGAATGGCCTTCTTATTAAATGATGAAACATTTACTAAATTAGTAAATATTATGATGAATGCGCTTCCTTGCAGCATTGTTCGTTAAGTGAATATACTTCTGAGTTTTTCCGCTATGTGGACGACGCCTTTGCTCTGTTTGATGTTAGTAAGAGTGATTTAAATAAAGTTTCACAATAATAAATTCCATTGGTTTCTGATATTTAGCCCGTTTTGGGCTTCAGACATCCTAGTTCCCTTTTCTGTACATCCTAGCTACACGAAATAAATCATAGTACTGTATATCGCATTACTGATTTCAGTAATACGACATATTGCAAACCTTCATCTATTTATCTTCCTTTACACTTCAGATCCTGTCATTTGACTAAATGAAAGTTGGTTACATTTCATTCCTTTGTTCTTTGCGAGGTATTTTTCATTCAAATTCAATCTTTCTCTTGTGGATTAACAAACTAAGCAATTTGAAAGCAAATAGATTTGGTTCTTAAGAATATTCTTTTCTTACTTTTGGATCGGATAGATTTAAATAATAAAAGTGTATTTAACTCATGATGTATCTAATTAAAAATTTTCGAAATAATTTTCATAGAATGACGGTTTATGTTTGGTACTATCTACTTCGTATGTTGTAAATTTTAAATTAATTTTTTATTAATAACCTCAACAATTTTAAAGCGAGCAGTGGCAACACTGTACGGAATAGAATATTTTTATTTCTAAAGAGAACGAATGTCTATCGAAAGTCCTAAAGATATTAATAAATTCTAAAGATTCTATTTATAAATACTTTGCGATTTTGCTGTTGAATTGAAGGGTAAAAGCAAAGATCGTGATATTTACTAAATAATGTTAATGCTAAAAACGTTAATAATAAAAAGACAAAAGTTTTGTAAGTCATCTTACTAAGAAAACTAAAATTGATATGGTGAACTGAAAAAAAAGCAGAAAAATGTATACCAATACGTAACGCTGCATTGGGACTTCCAAACGTATATTGCTGTGCTGCTTTAAAATTTTTGTAATTTTGCTGTTGAATTATATATGGCGTAAGCGTGAAGAAAGTAGTGTTTAATAATAAAGAGACAAAAAAAAAAAAAAAAAAAAAAAAAAAAAAAAAAAAGAAGTGGAGGGGTTTAGCAGAAGAGCAACAGCAGACTATCTTTCAGATTTTTCTTAGCTTTTTTTTTTCTATTTTTTTATTCTTGTTAAGACATAAAATTAGGTGCATTGTCTGTCGCACTAATATAGTCAAATTTTGTTAAATAAAACTATCCATTGCTTTCCATAGCAGCAGAAATTCTGGAAATCTTAAATAAGGAGAAATGACTTCCGGAATGATTTTTATAGTTTGGATGTCTGACAATTGGAACACTCTTGCTAAAATCTATGGGTTTTAATAAATAACAGCCTAAAGTAATTATAAACGCGTATGTATTATTCATACATTTACATATTTATATAATAATTCATATATTTACATAATGTTTGTTCATATTTCAGCATGGAAAGCTCATGGCTTGATCATATTGGTGTGCAAGACATCCTGAAATCTCTAAGCGATGGCACATGCCAAGATATTGAATGTGAAGTAAGACTAAAAGGTTTTGATGATTCAAATTCATGACATATGGATCATAATAAACATTCAGGTATCCAGTGAAAGGAGACATCAGTCCAGGCAATGTGACCAAAGAACCGATGCAGTTTCTTTCCAGTTCCTTCATGTTTAATAACCATTAGTACATTAGTACTTCTTTATTTTAGATTTCAGGAAAGAGCCTTGAAAAAAATAAATAAAAACTTAAATAAAAGCGTTATTATATGCTTATGCTAAGATATACAATGTTTCATTTCCCTTGAATATATGCGACTGTGTATCAGTTTTTTTTTTGTCATTAATTTTGTACTTTTCGTGTTTAAAATTTTAAAAGGTAAGAGGATTTTACGTAAAAAGTGAAATACTTTCAGAAATGCCATTGATAACAGATTATTGGGAACATTTTAGAATTAAAACATTTCAATGAAAAGAGCGTAATTATAATGAAACTTAGACTGTGAAGTTATCCGTACGAGCAACTGTGTTATCTTGAAATTAGTATTTAAAAGCATTTTCTAAAGCTTTGGAGACTAAACTGAATCAAAAAATAAAGATTCAATACAAAATAGCATTCTAAGAAAGCGCAAATAAAGCAAATTTGAAACCGTGCATATTCAACAAAAAATTTAAAAAATTAAAAGCATTCTCCATTTATAGATTATTATAGATGTTTAAAGCAAAAAACATAATATAGGACTTGATCTATAATAATCTATAAATCATTAAGATTTTAAAAATAAAACTATTTGATAAAGTTAATAAAAAAATAGCACTTAAATTTCTAGTAAAACTGTGACTCAGGAAAATGAAAATGTTCTAACGATGACTTAAAAGTTTATGTGCTTTCATTTTAAGGAACGATAAATACAATAACGATTACTCCATTAATGAACGTGAATTGATATGAAATTTAATATTGGTGTTATTTTTAGATCTAAATTATTGTAATAAAATGGAAATGTACCTTACAACATGAGTAATAAAATTTTAAAACACTTCAGTTTGTTTCAGTTGTCCAGTTATTTCGATCAATCTGTTCTTCCCCCGTAATGCTTCTTAAAATTGCTCATTTTTGTTTCCTTGCTAAAATCCATTTTAAAAGCTAATAATTCTTATTCTTTTTTAATATAAAGTTTTTAAGGGGTGTCAGAAGCTCCTATACCGACAATGTTAAATTGGCCATTTACGATGTATCTTTTCTCAAAATTTGCTGTTGATACACGCTTGAAATTTTTTATGTAATTAAGGTATACCTATCTGATTATACTAAAATAAGCTTTCGAAGCATTTTGAATTTTAGAGTAATTTACACAATATTTTGCTAGGCATAGTAAAATTTAGCACTTTTCTCCCACAAAAAAAAAAAAAAAAAATTCCCCTTTTAGTTTATCACAAAGAGCTCATTTCAGTAAATATTAGGAGACCTAATAAATAAGCCATAAAATTTAGCTCTAGTTCCTGATAAAAGGTACGTCGAGTATAAAAAAAATTGACTTTGGAGAAAAACGCGTTTTTATGTAAAAGTCCTCATTAATCAAAGCATTCGATGACAAATTAAAACTAGATTTTTTACAGTTCTAATTTTCATAGATATTAAAAAATGGTATTTTTAGAAAGACAAAGTGTAGAGAATTTGAAAATGCAAAAATCCGAAGTCACCATTTTCTGAAGAGTTTTGCGTTTCAACACCCCTTAAAAGCAACTTGTTGTAATATGTAATTAATGATGTTGGTTTTCACTTGGAAGAAGCGATCTCTGAAGGCAAGATGAAAATGACATAAAAACTTGCAAATTTTGAAATGAAATATCCCGGTCAATTTTTGTTGTACGGGAGTTAAACTTCATGTAGTTTTATTTTTGGTAACGAGCATGAAAATCTTTCCCGTATAGGAAACAGGAGACCGTATTAAAATTTAGATTTCGTTATTTGACGAAAATGATTTCTTTTTTAAGTCTGACACTGCCCAAACATGAATATTTTCATCACTTAAAACACTTCTGTTTCTGGAAGGATGAATGACTACGACAAACGATTGTGAAAATAAAGGCTATGTTTACAAGTTAAGAGGGGTGATGGTACTCATCCAGATGAACAATAATTATCATAGAACATAGGCTCGCATTTCACTCAGAGAGGCAGAAAAGAGGAATATTATAATTCCAACCCGAACTTACAACAGTGTTAGGAGAGCGAATGAACGAGACCAAAAGTTGCGCAATCAGTTCAGTGAAAACTCACAGAGAGTGTACAAAACGGATAAAACCAAAAATTGACGTTCGAGTGTTAATTTGAGCTCAGACTTTGATGGCAAACACTCAGATTCACATCTTTGGTTCACAAGGTCTCATTCCTCGCAAACGATTGCAACAAGTTAATTATATAATCAAGGGCCAAATATTATCAAATAACTCCAACTTCCGCTGTAGGCAGAGATTAGAATGAAATGTTTATACTGTGTTCCGGCTGTTAGAGCTTCGTGTCCATAGAAGGGCCCTTCAAGTAGAATGAGCGTAGCATAGTAAGTACAGAAGAACAGGATAGAAAATGGCGAAGGGGAAAAAACTGCTACCTTGATAGTATCCAACCTGCCTTGAGTTGGAGTTAGTTGATAATATTCAGCCCTTGATTAGATAATTAACTTCTTACAATTGTTTGCGAGATTGAGACCTTACGAACCAAAGATGCGCATCTGAGTGTTTGCAACCAAAGTCTGAGCTCGAATTAATACTGGAACGTTAAGTTTTCGGTTTTATCCGTTTTGTGCACTCTCTGTGAGTTTATCACTAAACTGATTGCGCAACCTTTGATCTCGTTCATTCGCTCTCTCAATACTGTTGTAAGTTCAGGTTGGAATTCTAATATTCCTCTTTTCTACCTCTCAGAGTGGAATGTGAACCTATGTTCTATTGTAATTATTGCTTATCTGGAGGAGTACTATCAACACTCTTAATTTTTAAAAACAATTTAGAATCACCCTGTATATATGCAATAAAACAGCTCCGTTATTGTGATAAAACTGCGTTATTATTGAAATAAGATGATTTGGTGAGAGTTGCAAAGGATTGGCGTCGAAGAGGACTGCATAATTAGAGACTACGTAGTTAGGTAGGTAGGAAGGTTACGGAGGACTGGAACGCCTGGTGTGTAACAGAGGTAAACAGGCATGTGTTCCACGCCGTATTCTAACTACAGCAAAAGTTCCCTGGATCCACACGAGGCTGCACAAGGAGATTATTGAGGTTGTCAAAGGGAAGTACATGCCGTTACAAGGGCATTAATAGGATTGTATTACAGATTGAAGAGACAAGCTGTGGACTACGTAGTTAGCAAGATGACACTCGAAGAACACACATAACGGTAAATTCCACACATAATTTTATTTCTTGGATAATGCACATTAGCACTTTGGGTGCGCTATGCACCTCCCAAATTTGTGTAAAATCTTAAACAATTGACGAATTTGGAAAAGTAAACTTTGCGTGGCTAGCGACACAGCGGAAGAGACGAGCGAAAAGAAGAAGAGGGAGCTGTGACGTCATTACACTTTTATATCGAATTCCATTTCGGATCACATGACAGATTAATGTACAGGTGTTGGGTTCAGACTTCATGGGTAAGTGTGCTATACCGATTAGATGACGGATCTTTTAGTTTAGTTAGAAAATTATTGCTCTATTATTTTAGAATGAAGACAGGAGTTAGTGGGATATTAATTTATTATTTAAAAGCTAGATTTTATATTTTACATATATATATATGCACGTTTAGTTCCATGGATTGCAATTAAAAAAGAAGGTGCTCAATATTATATATATAAAACATTAAGCACCTATATGTTATATTATATATAAGTCTCATATATAAAATTTCACCGTTCTACGTCTAACGGAAAAAAAATTGTCTAAATGGATTCGGTGATTGTTAAATGACAAAATTCTAAGAAGCACATAAAAAGGAAAGGTGAATCAAGAAAAATTAGCGAGTCTGAAAAAAAAAGTAATAATAATAATTTTGAACTTGTTTGATATCTATAAAAATAGGATAATCCGAAAAATATAGAATGAATATATGGAACAGGAAAATCTGTAAATATTTTGAAATTCGTTTGATATCTGTAAAATATATGCAGATAACTTGAAAAGTTCTAATACGTTGCAGCAATATGCATCTAATTATGAATAATAATGAAGCAGTTATGCGAAAAATACTAAATCTAAAGAGGTAAAGAAGAGAAATTTATAGTTCTGAGATAGAAAAATTAATGAATAACTCAGATTGTGCTTAGTATCCGTTTAAAAATCTTAATTTTTAAGTAAAAATAAGCGTATATTTTTTTAAAGAAATAAAGCATATATTTTTAAGGAACAACGAAATGTCGTTACAGTGATTCTGAACCACTGCCACACGTGGAGGCATTTTTAAATAAATTTGTCATATTTTCAGAAAACACTTTTATTTAACAAAGCATTAAAGATTCAATTGTTTGTTTGCATCTTTAATATGAAAATTTTGTTTAGTTTCGCTAAAAGAGGCTCAAGAAATATTATTATAAATATAGGGTTCGACATCTGTTCTTGGAGAGTATATCTCATTAACTTTGCTGGATCGTAACGGCATGTCATAATTTTATTACTTGAAGCATTAGAAGACATTAAAGCTATACTGCTGCCATCTCTTGCTAAAAGAAGGAAATAATTGTTACACTTACTAATGATTGGCGCTAGATGTCAATATCTTTATTTTCTACAGTTGTATGTAGCATAGTTACAGAATATTTGAGTCCACTCATATTAGCCTTTTTGTGAGCTCAGGTAATTTTCTTAAAGTGTATTTTAAACATGCTATCTAAACAAGTGTCGAAATTTAAAAAGTTATTAATTCTGTATTTAATATTTTCTATCTCATTTTTATAACTTCATTATAAAATCCCAAATATTGTAAAATCCGCAGTGATTATTTATCGTTAGAAAGCACAGGTAATATTTTATGAGAAAACCTAAAACAATTTTCAGTCGGAATACAGAAACTCTGCTTACTTTGTTCCTAAATACACTATTTAAATATATTGCGTTATTAATATAATATTGATTTAATACTGATAATAATATTTATTGTTCTAAGTAACAAAATATTTCATTTAAGCTAATAATAACTGCTACTATATTATAAATAAATAGTTCACTTAAATTTATTGATAAAATGGAATTTATTTCTAATTGGAGCCATCAGAAAATGTGAATAATTAATCTACATTTAATTTCAACCTGCCGTATTTAAGTTTATTTTATTATTTTAATTTTATTGTTATTATCTGAATATTTTCATTAACTTTAACGTATTCCCACTAAATTTATCATAAAAAGTTATCTCTACTCTCGGAACAAAATTATTTACAATGCATTTGATGGAAGCGTCAGAAAATGTGTCTGGGTTACTTCAAATTCCTTTCGTGAAAATTCATTAATAAAGTAGGAAATGAAAATTTTCATTCATTACAGATAGGATGATATTATAAGAACGAAACTTAGCCGGGTAAACTACTGAAAAATTTCTTATATTATTCGCACAACCATAATACGTTACTGCTCAGAAAATAAAGATGACATTCGTAGAGTTGATGTACTTATAAAAATTAGCATTGCCCAGTCAAAAAACAGCAGATTTAATTAAAAGCAATTCTTGGGCATTTGATAGTTACTTCATTTGATTTTCAAGCCAGTCACACAAATTAGGAAAAATTCATTCTTTTAAAATATGAAATAATCAAAACCGCATCATATTTCAGTTTTCATTTACTATTACTTTTAAACACTTCTCTGTCAATGACTGAAAATTGCTTCCTTTCCATTCTGCTTTAAAGCTGATGTAAAAAATAAATTTCCAAGAGAAAATTTCTCTTTGATATCCAGAAAAGGGGTAAAATAAAAACATAATTTATGCAAAATTAAATCTTAGTGGGTGAACTAAAATACTGATCATTAGTTCAATAAC